TTCTCACACGTTGAAAAAAAAAATCACTGGAAACAAATCTAATATAAATTATTGATGAAATTTTTAAATAAAAGACATATTAAGTCAAAGTATAGGTCAAAATAAATATACACATTTTTCCGGAATCGATAATATAATCTAAGTTAATATAATATGATGCTTATGAATTTTAGTAGTTAATAAGTAAATTAAAACAAAAGGGTAAGTTGAAGGACTTAAACTTAAATCATGAGAAAATGATGGGAGGAAAGATTCACAACAAAAAACAAACGTCACACAAAAGCTGTATATAGAGAAATAATCGGTCCGTTAAGATCACGCGGAAAGTATGTTGCATTGTTGCAGTAAATATCATATATAAAAAAGAAAAAAAAAAAAGACAAAATTTACAACTTCCACATCACGATGAGTAGAGTATGAGTTGTGGAGAAAGGCATGTTAACTAAAACTTATGCTAGTTTTAATGGACTAGGTGGGTAATTCAACTTTAATTCACTATTAATTTATTTAAATTTTCCGTGGGTAATTAAATTCAATACAATTCCATTATCCTCAATATTATCAATATAATTAAATAATATCAACTAATCATTCTTACGTATCTTTTCAACTTTAATTCACTATCTGTGGGTAATTAAACTCAACTCAACTCCATCATCCTCAATATTATCAATATAATTAAATAATATCAACTAATTATTCTTACACATCTTTTCAACTTTAATTCACTATTAATTCATTCAAATAATTTTAACTAACCATCACTTTCAATATTTTTTCTCATACTTTTACATCAAATCAATTTTATTTACTTTATTTTAAATATTATTCTAATTTAAACTTAAATTCTCACATATAACTAACTATACCACTGTTAATAAAATAAATAAATCAAATACATTATCCAATAACACTCTANAGCTAACACCAAATTTCAAAATTCAACACACGCTTCTGGCTCATGATTTATTTTTTTTTTTCTACTAAACGAAACCCAGAGTAGAATCGGTCCCCCTACCGGCAAACAACTGAAAAATGGTTCATCATTGTTTTTTGTCACTTTCGTAAAATTCTTCATGGTCGTAATATTCTTCTTCGTCATAATAGTAACTATCGTCATCGCTAATGTCATCGTCTTCGTCATCATCGGCATCACTACTACTCCCATGTCCATTAGGCTGCCCCCTCAAACTCTCTTGAATTCGATCTCTAATGGCCGTGCCCTGACAAACAGCAATTCGGATAATTATATAAACTACAACTGAAGGCTGTATGTAGTGTATCTAGTTAGTTAGAGATTCTGGGTTTTTTTTTTTTTATTACCATTTTATGGCAGCCTTCCTCGAACATTTCAAGAAATCCAGCAACCCATCGGTCAGCGTTCTCGACCCACATATCAGGATGCACGCCAGCTGTTTTCGCAACAGTTTGTATCTGAGAGAGGTTTAATTTAAAGACGAAAAACGGATCAACAAATGAGCATTGCATGATAGACGAATAAGGAAAGTGCCAGAGATGAAAACGAAAGAACTATAGATTTCAACTTTGTGATTCAATCGAGATAATTGAAAGAAATTGCATACGGGAAATGATAAGCCGAAATTTTCTTTTATTAGTAAGAGATTTGACACATTTTACCCAACCTTTTCTTGTTGCTCTCTTACTTTCTCTTGAAACTTCATGAGTCTCATATTCACTCTTATTCGCTTTTCCTGCCCATATGAAACAACATCACAGTATCATCAGCATGGGTAAAGTCAGACACTAGTTAGTTTAACGCAGGTTTTGGTGAATGACATAAATATTTTCGTGCCTTGACATAGCTAAGGTTAAGCTCTTTTCTCGTGTACCCACGATCTAGATTGCGCATCACGTATTGGTTGTAATTCTTCAATATCCTCATAATGACATCTGATGTTGAAATTCCATCAGTTCTTTTAGTCTCCTTAAATCTCCCAACGGCTTTCACCTGAATTTGAATATGAAATTATTCTATGATCGTTGGGTTAACATCGAAGGTACCACCACCTACTGGCACTCGGTGACATTTATAAATATATTCATCGAATTTGAAAGAATTAAAAGGTAGAATGTTATGCTTACAAATTCATAAACATCATTTCCAGCTCCGCTTGCATCTGCATAACTGTAAAAAAAAAAGGGGTACGTACAATCCCATAAGGATGTAAATGGCTGTTACTGGGGGTTAAAAGTTAAACCACATAGTAGACTAATGCACACATCATCTTCATGTATGATCAAGGAAAATAACTTGACATGAGCATTAACTACGGAGAAATCCACTCGTCCAGAAGTGGCATTAGGTGTATGGAATATGCAGATGTCAATGAGTGAAAACATCCCCATCTCAATCTATCGTAAACCTCAAAACTAGCGCCAAATATGACCTTCTTTCATATGCTATTAATACCTCTAACCAGCCTATAAAATAATCTATTGTGAAAAAAATAGCAAGATGAAGAGCTCTTACGGAAGAGAATCGTGAGCCACAAAATCAATATGGTGCTTGTCAAGAAACTCTTGATTTATCACCCATCGAGCATCCGGAATAACTTCATCGACCCACCTCCCAGCAAGACGAACAAAGCAGCTACATGTTTAAATTACAATATCATCACCTATAATCAACACCAGAAAGAGCAAGTTAACAAACCCATGACAGAAAATAAATGGAACATAATCCTAATCACGGATCGAACCACACGAAAACACGATGAAAAACAACACGAACAGAAACGAACCACAACTTCATGTACGTAACCATAGATAGAAGCTAAAACACATAAAGCTACAAGTAAATTAATACCATGATACGAAGGATCAAGAGATGGATACAATACACAAAACAGAGTAAACAGAACATGTGAGAAAAGAGTAGACGCACTTGCAATGACGAAGGGATTCATAACGTTCTGCATCGTTCATAACCGTCTTCCCTTTATACTTATGTGTAGTCTCATCGTTGCAACATCCGACCAGCAAGTACGTATTCGGGAACCTAACAAACGTACGTGGTATCAATCAATTGAATGAATCATACAAACCGAGCTATAAAATGCCACCAGAACATAGAATCGAAAACATGGAGAGCTAATCACCAACAAGTAACAACATAATCTCACTCGTATGCAAATTATATTTCCACCCGCGAAAAATAAATCAGAAACCTAAATCGAAAACAGAAATAGAAATGCGATCATGAAATGGGGAAAGGGAAACAAACAGCTTCTTGGCCTGCTCGAGGGAGCGGGCGTGGCCCAAATGGAACAGATCGTAAATCCCGTCGGCGTAGACGCGAAGGGGGCGGTCCGAAGGGGGAGGAGAGTGGGCGGAGGCGGTGACGACGTCGTTTTCGGCGGCTGATGATTTGCTGTTGTTAATGGCGGTGCCCATCGAAACGTCGGACACTCTCCGTCTCTATCTCCGCTTTGTCTCTCTCTCTATGTATGCATTTGTACGCACAGACGGTGTGTTTGCCGCCATTGCCGCCTTATTTCTATTGTTTTTGTTGTTCTCTCTTTTTTTTTCTTCCTTTAAATTTTTGTAATCTCAATAAAATGGTTATAAAATTATTTATGAATTTATATATGGTTTTAGAGTTATATTCTATATATTAGACTTTTAATTACAACAAATAATCATTACTATATGACCATCTCTAATGTTTAAACTTGTTATAGAAAATTACATTCTCCATCGATACATCGTTATCATTATTATAAAATCATATCCAATGCTTAAACATTGCAATCAAGATGCTCAAACATATTGATTCAAAAAAAATATATTGTGAACAAACGATGAATGTAAAATGCATAACTATAAAACTAAAAAAATTCTCTTCACTTGATAATGTAGAAAATGCATAAATATTGTAAACCTAACCAATGTCAGATAATATATAGTGATAAAAGAATAATGGAATAAATCGATATCTTGGAATAAGTCAATAATTTTATCTTATCTTTGAATATTAAAATGTGTACATATGTGGTTCAGGTGAAAAGTACATTTAAGAGAGATTTTTGAGATAGTCGAAATGATACGTTTAAGACCAAATTGGGTTATTCACTCGTTATATTTGGATTATTCACTTAATAATTTGTAGCTCACCAAATTGGGTTATTCACTCGTTATATTTGGATTATTCACTTAATAAATTATATATTAAATGAATACAATATAGACTGTAATTATAAATCAAAAGTTATTCTTTTAATACCACGTAGATTAATTTTCCATTCTTTAATTTTCGTGTGCTTGGAATTTATATATCATCAAACTCTAGCATTATAGATGCTCTAATATTTAAAATAACGACATGACCTTCAAATGACTACACCATGTTTCAAATGTTAGTGATGTTTTGTACAAAGTAAAGCATCTACATTTATTTTCACATTCTAGCTTAATCTATGAAGAAGAGAAGAGATAATTATTATAACAATTTTAAGCTATTTAATTATTTAACTAATTTTTTTATTGATAATTTATTGAATAGTTTTTACCTTATACAATTATCTCTGGTTCATGTTTCATTGTAATAATTTATATTTGTAAAAAAAAAATAATAATAATAACATTGATCATTCATATATTAATGAATGGGAAGCGAATAACTATCTTAGCTAGTCATATATAGTCATGAATCAGTGCAGGCCAACATAGAGAATTCAACATTTTCAACAATGGACGTAAAAATGCGGGTCATCGATCAAACCCATGTAAACACTACTAATATTAATGCCATTTTCAAACCAGTCCACATCACAATTTATTCAACAATAACCCTTCATATTAATTAATCAATTTACCTAATGATGCACCAAGGTTTCTAATAATAAGAGTACAAATATGGCAATTGAGAGGAAAACCTTGCTTGAATATGAAAATCAAAGTAAAATTTACAACCACAACAAAAGAAAAGTCATTTAATTTTATAGGTTACTTATATATACATATTCTCACATATATCACGATTAACACATGCCATAATCTTGATCAAAACTCCGATTTTCATTCCTCGAAGAAAACCCTTGATCCGCATCGAAACTGATGTTCATGTTGTGATCGTTTACCATAAACATGTTTTGTTGTTGCATATGGTTCGGATGCTCGGCTTGAGACACGCGCATGCTAGAAGTTCCAACGTCATGCGCAGTAAAGTCAATTGTTCGGTTGGTTCCGACAAAGATTTGGGATATCATAGGAACTTCGCCGGTGAATTGTTGTACCAGGGCCTTGAAATTTTTTAGGTCGGTTTTGATTAAGGTGGTTGGGGCCCTTTGAGAAGCCCTCGACCGCCTTTTGGCCACGGGCTTTGCTATACGGCCTTGATCGAGGGTTAGGTTATTATTTCTTGAGGTGGTAGTGGTAGTGGTGGTGGTGGAGGTTGTTGGCGGAGGAACTCCGATTTGACCGATGTGGGTTAAGTTAGAGTGATATAGTTCCATCCAATCACTAGGGCTTGACATGGTTTGATTAGCTAATTAGTTAATGGTTGTTGAAGGAGATGAGTTAAAAGCTATGTGGTGTTTATTGGTAAATAGGCATCACAAATAGTGAAGTATGGAGAGGGGTTAAGAAAGATCAATACAAGTGGGTTGAGCATTTATGGACATTAATTGTGGGTGAATAAAAGTCTTGGTCAACAATTTTTATCTCTTCTTTTACTTATTGAATTCTTAAATTTGCTTAATGTTTGGTGACGTGGACTTGTATATGTGAGCAAGAATGTTGGACCAAGTAAACTAGCAATCTATGAAAAGATTTATTAAAATTGACAATTTTGATGAAAATGATTTCACTTAAGTGAAGAATAGTTGAATTGAAGTTAAATATATAAAGAAATACGATCAAATGAATTGTTGTCCTCGTGAAATAAAAGAACACATACAAATTATATTTTTGTTAGAATTACTTTTTAAAATATAAATTTTGACTTGAGTACAAAAAGTATGTATCCTTGTTAAAAATATATGATTGCTCAAATGGATTCTACTTAAATTAAATAATTGGTATTTCTATAAGTGACATGATTAAAAAAATAATAAATGGTTTATTTATTTAAATAACTTGCATCGACAAATAAAAGTTTAATAGCTTCAAAATTCTATTTGCGTCAACAGATAAATCTTGCAAATACTGAATAAAGAAACCTAATACCTTGTCAAAGCAAAGACTTTTTACAGTTCTTGATGAGTCGCATCAGACAAAGCCAACAAGTACGTGTCAACCTAGGCTCACGTGGAGTTGAAAATAGATGGCAATTTGCTCGAATTCTAGAACCAAATATACTTTTTTTTTTCTTTTTTTTTTTTTTCCAAAGAGGCCAGAGACCTAAACGGTACAACGTAAGAACTCTCCAGGGTATGAACCAAATATACTAAATATTGGTTTTGGTTAAATGAAATTAACTGATGAATTCCAAATATTACACATACAGACATACTACATAGTAATGGATTGTTCACACTTTACTGAATATATGAATTATTAACAAAAAGAACACATACATTTGAACTTATCATGTAATACTTTAATACAATAACCTCAGTAATTTCCTAACAAAGTTTTGTTACAGTAACTATAATATTTGGTTCAAGACTTTTGTTTACAAATGGGACGAGGAAATATCTCCGCATCTTCCTTGGCTTCATTAATTTGTGACTGCAAATGGGATCGGTTAAACACTAATCAGCAGAAGAATTGTTAATATCTATACTTTCATTAGAAATTAATAATATAATCATACATTTTTATTCATAAATGTGATTGATGAACCCGCCTAATGATTATACTGCAAGAGTAAGTGCAAAGTACATTCAAACCACACATTTCCTTACATAAACATAAGACCTAGCCAGATACACAAACAACACACACGAGCAGGCGCTGAGCCCAGCCAGCAGCCAGTAGAAGTAGTCGAGGTGGGCCCGGTTCAAATTGCTCGAGAACCAACTCTGGTGGGCCCCACCACCACTCCCCGTAACCCAATCAATAACCGACACAATAAACCCGCTCAGAAAGCTACCTGTCCCGAGCACACCAAGCGAAATGGCGAGCCCCATGCTCTTCAGGTCGCCCGGGATTTGATCGTACACAAACTCCTGAAGCCCGACAAGCGTGAACACGTCAGCAATCCCCAGGACAAGGTACTGTGGGCCCAGCCACAAAACGCTCATGGGAATCGTTTCCCCAGGCGAGTCGACCAGCCCGTGCTCGAGCGCGACTTTCAGCCGCTTGTTCTCCACAAAACCTGCAACAGTCATCGAGATTACGGACAAAAATACCCCTGTCCCGACTCTCTGGAGCAGGGATATGCCGGTCGGTTTTCGGGTCAAGGCTCGGGCGACTGGGACAAGAACACGCTCGTAAATCGGGATGAAGAGGACGAGTGAGGCGGCTGTGAAGGACTGGAGAGAGGCGGCCGGCAGCTGGAAGCTGGCGGTGATGTGGCGGTCCATGGTGGCGCCTTGCTTGGTGAAGAAGGTCGTGGATTGGGAGTACACAGTGGAGTACACTAGGCACGTGAGGCATATCGGAAGAAGTCTAAGGATAGTCTTTGCATCCTCGATGTCTTTCGAATTGTTGGGTTCGAGCAGGCCTTTTCCCACAAACCTAAGCAGTGATTTAGTATCACTGTTGATTAACTAGTCTACAGTGAAAATCACTTAAAAGGCAAAAACACTACCCACCGGAGAAGTTAAAAAATTTACAGTTGCCCCCTTCTGGTTTGATTATGTTGGAAAATATGGTGTATAATTTCTGATATTTTG